ATGGGTTGATGTAAGGCAGCTAACACCATTCTAACTCTGTAAGGTAGCCCAGGCCTGAGGCTGGGCAAAGGCCCACTCAGGCTGGATAGCAGCATTCATGATGATTGTTCCAAAGGAAACCAGGGAAGCCCGGTGGCTTGGCATGCTTTACCCTACAGTCCTAAGAAGGAGCTAGATGGGGCCACACTCCCGGTGTCCTGTGGCTCAGTGATCTGTAACTACGCCTCTCTTGGTGGGTTGCAGGTCTGGCAGTGAGAAGCCCTCAAAGCTCCGCTTGCAGTCGCCACAGCCATGTAACTGCTAGCTGCCCCTGCTGAACAGCATCCAGAGGATACAGATGGTGGGTTACAGAGGTGAAGCAGGAGCCAATTCCATTCCTTTTCTTCTTGCTGCTGTGGCTAGGCCTATGCGTGACAGCAAGCGGGGCTAGGTCCTGCAGGTCTGGTGTAAATTGTCCGGGCGTTGCTAGCTGTGGCGAAATGCACCAACTGTGGACCTGGCCTAAAGAGAATCACAGGGCTACAGGCTTCCCCAGCAAGGGGCTCTGTGGAAGGAAATGCGGGGGAATGGATCCATATAGCATGCTGTACCCCAGCAATCACATCACTTTCCCAATGTCAACTGGATGGTGTGGAGAGGCCCCTTCACTTACAGCCCTGGGGACTAGGCCTTAGCCCACATAACATGTGGGGCATGGGCAGCGCCAGGGTGAGCTTCCCTCATGCTGTCCCACCTTGGTTCAAACTTCAGGGTGGGTGGGTGGGTGGGAGGGTTACAGGATAGTTTGGCCTCTGGGACCCCAATGGAAAAAGAACTAAGAGTCAGATCCAGAAAAAAGGACTGAGTCACATTAAGGGGGGATATGAGAGAGTTCTGGAAAAAAAAAAAAACTAGTGTGGAGAAATTGAATAAGGAAGTGTTATTTACCCTTTTATACAACACAAGAACCAGGGCTTACCCAATGAAATTAATAGGCAGCAGGTTTACCACAAATATAAGGAAGTACTTCACATAACCTGTGGAACTCTTGGCCAGAGAATGTTGTCAAGACCAAGACTATAATAGGGTTCAAAAAAGAACTAGATAAGTTCATGGAGGACAGGTAAATCAATGACTATTAGCCAGGATGGGCAGGGATAGTGTCCCTAGCTTCTGAGTGCCAGAAGATAGGAATGGGCAACAGGGGATGGATCACTTGATGATTTCCTGTTCTGTTCATATCCCTCTGCAGCATCTATCATTGGCCACTGTCAGAAGACAGAATACTGGGCTAGATGGACCATTGGTCTGACCCAGTATGGCCATTCTTGTGTTATTATCCATCTGCTTGTCTCACCCGTGCCGCTAAAGCTATCAGTGGGAATGGCTTCAAGCTACTGCCAGATCAGCCACACTGGAACTGATGCCTCGGGGGAAAGGTCTTGTATCCCACCAACCCCCAAGTCAGCCAATGCTCCCACTCTAGAGCCAGATCAGAGCTAGCAGCCCCTGGAGGGGAAACTCCCTATGTCCCCACTCCCTGAGCCCCATAGTCCCCTGTCACCATGCCTCCGTGGGTAACAACTGACCCAAATTCAGGACAAATTGCTAAGCAATAGGGCAGCCATACCCCAAAACTGGTGGTTATTCTCCCATAAGATATACCAAACCAGTAACAAAAGTAAACATCTGTCTCACCACCCTAGCTAACAAAAAATCAGAAAAGCATTCTCCTTAGGCATTCCAGTCCTGGATTTAATACCCGAACACTAGACTTAATGATGAGTGGTTATTTAAAACCAATTTCATCAAAAAAAATGTTCTTCTGATCCCAAAGGACCTGCCACACACCCAGGTCAATATACAACTCAGATCTTACCCAACCATCAGGCTGTTACCAATCCTTTAGTATCTAAAATCTAAAGGTTTATTTATAGAAAAAAGAAAGAGAGAAAGGTGAGAGTTAAAATTGGCTAAAGGAATCAAATATATACAATAAATGCAAAGTTCTTGGTTCAGGCTTGTAGCAGTGATGGAATAAACTGTTGGCTTGTTAAGTGTCTGGTTGCTTCCAAATCATTAGAAGGTCCTCAGTCCTTTGGTTAGAATGCTCTCATTAGTATAAGTCCATAGTCCAGAGGTTTGAGCAGGAAAGAGGCAAAATGGAGATGTTTCCAGTGCCTTTTATAGCTTCTCTCAAATGAAGGGAAACCCATTGTTCTCACTGTGGAAAATTACAGGTGACAAGACGGTGTTTGGAGTCACATGATTTTGCTTAGTCATAGCAAGAAAGTCCATTACATGTAGATAGGTGTCTTCCATTGTGAGTTAAGTGTTCTTTAATGGGCCATTCAACTTGAATAGTTCCTTCACAATGTGCTGGCTAAATACCTTGTGGGTGCTACCCAGAGCAAACATTTGAAATCCAGGTATAGAGGCAATACTCATCACTTCAAATCCAAAAATGATGCATGCATACAAATAGCACAGTCATATTCAGAAAATCATAACCTTTCCATAGACACCTTACTTGATATACTTTATAAGATTTGTTACAATTATATATCAGTGGTAGTAACAATGATCTACATGGTCATATTTTAATCAGATAATGTCACATCCCCTCTCCCTGCAACCTGTACAGAGCTGGCAACCCCTAGAAAGGAAAGGGCCCATGTCCCATTCCCCACATCCCCTGAGCCAGTGGGTTCCCCAACTCAGAAAACTGAAAAACTCAGTATGTGATATACATCTAGAGGGAGTAGATAGGGACATCTTATATTTTCTCTAAGTAATGTTTCTCTCCTTGCAATGACCTGATTTCTTCTCTTTCCCCAGCCCAATTGCACACACTCCCTTTATCTATTATCTAATCTAATCTATCTATCTATCCAATCACACATTCTCTTTCTCTCTCTCCAGTAGAGGTGACTCTGAATTCTAAAACAGCCAACCCTGAGCTTGTCCTGTCCAGTGACAGAAGGAGTGTGTCTCTTGGAGACGAGCGGATGGACCTGCCCAACTACCGCGAGAGATTCGACACAGCTCCTTGCGTCCTGGCCAATGAAGGGTTCTCGTTTGGGAGGTATTACTGGGAAATGGAGGTGTGGGATGCTGGCTGCTGGGCTGTGGGGGTGGCCAGAAAGTCAGTGAAGAGGAAGGGACATCTCAGACTCACACCTAAGCATGGCTTCTGGACTGTGGAGATGCACATGGGCAAATACTGGGCTCTCAACACCTCCCTGGCCCTTGTGTACTGCAACGAGAGGCTTGACAGGGTCGAGATTTACTTGGACTACACGGAGGGTCAGGTGGCCTTTTACAATGCTGAGTCCTTGACCCATCTATACACCTTCATTGCCTCTTTCAAGGAGGAAATTTTCCCCTTCTTCTATACCAAGGACAAGAAGATCCCACTGGTCATTAATAGGTTCGAGACAGAGGGATGGATTCCTCTGACTGAACAGACGCAGCCTAGTCCAGCCCCCATCATTTGACTTGCATGTGCTTTCCATTGCCCCTGGCACAGACAGAACGTGAGCATGTTGCTTACATCCGCTTTGCAGTCAAATGTTCCATTTTAATGCCATTGAAACGCTGCCTTTGGATTTTTTTCAGACTGAAAATTTGTCAACGTGAGTGGAATGAAACATTTCAATTTTTCATTTTGAAGTTTTTCATTTTAAATTTTTAAAGTCCAAATCAGGAGAAAACATTTGAATTTTATCAGATGAAACATTTTGATTGACCTAAACCATTTTTAAAAAATGCTGTTTTGCAAGAAATTTTAATTAAAAAAATTCATTCCAATTTGGAGTGAAAATAAATTTTGAAATTGCAGAATTTCTAATAGAAAGGAAATTCCAGTTCTCACTCATAGAGTGCTAGACTCTTCTGGTTTCTAAGCCTTTAGCGGGTCACATTTAAAAGTAATTATGAGGAACAGAAACCTATTATTTTTCTTTTAAATGAGAGGTGAGATTTTTTGTAATCACAGGACTCTGGGAGCTGGGGCTTTAAGGAAAACAGAAGTTTTGCCACGAAATTGCGGGACTTGGCTTAGAAACCAGATGATTAATAGAAAGAACTCAATTTTGTTACTCATATTTTATATAAAATTATTTTTTAAAAAATCTCTTGGTTTTAAGCCAATCTCATGATTTCAGGGGGCAGTGTGTGTGTCTTTTGACACATCGATCTTGGACAGTGTGGGGTTGGTGATGCTGCCTTTCCCTCGAAACCATCACACCATGGACCAACCTGGCATTGCCACAGCAACTATGACCACTGCCTTCGTCGTCATGGCAACTGTGGCCAGTGGATGTGAAAAAAACCTCATAATAAATTAACCCCTGAAAATGAACATGGGTTTTTGGTGTGATTTGGACTCATTTGTTTATTTGTTTATTTTTAATTAACACCTAATTGTTTTTACTGTTAAAAAAATAATGGTTTCTTCCAGCTAGCTCTTCCCCCAGGATAAAGATGGGACAGTCCCCAGGGATCTCTGATTGGCTGCTGAGCCCTACGCGGTACATCATATCTCCGCCGCCAGCTTGAACGTGCGAGCAGGCAAGCCCCTGGCTTCCCTTCCAAGGAGAGAACACCGGCGCGGGTGGGTCACGTGGCCATACTGGTGGCGCTATGGGTGTGTCCATGTTGGAGTCTGCTACGGGCGTCGCCATATTCTCTTCCCTCGTTGTCGTCACCATCTTGCGTTACGGCAGGAGCAGAGGGCGAGGTAAACAGCTGGCACCCTAGAGGCCCCGGATGTTACTTTCTCTTCAGCTAGACCGTAAACCAAGATGGCGACGCCCACCGTGGATCCAGGATGGCGGCGTCCACGTGTGATTACTAACGCTCTCACTTTGAGCTTATTTATTTACCTCGGTGAGAACTGAGCCGAGCAATCTCTCTGAGCCTGCAGGGATGTTTCCCTCTATCCCCTTCCGGGGGCAGCTTGAGGGCAGAAACGGGGCGGGGGCTGCGCACATGGGAGCCGCCATGTTGTACGGCAGATATGCAGACGGGGAAAGAGGTGTCCCGGAAGAGCGGGTTCCGGTTCCGCTTGGCCTGGCTGGGTTGCGGGGAGGGGCTGCGGCTAGTTGCTTAGCCTGGAGAGTAGGAGGTAAATAGAGCAGGTCGCCCCTACCCCCGGGGGTGTCCGCCCCTATGCACTGAGCCGAGGCCCCTGGGGGCGGGACCAGGGCCCGGGGTGCATGGGGGTGGAGGTAGCGGGGGCAGGGTGCATCGGGGGGGTCAGGGCGCATTTCAGTGGGTGTAGTTTGCGATGTGGGAGGGCTGGGTGCATTAGGGGAGGGGTGGTTGCATGGAGTGTTCGGCTGGGTGCAGGCGTGGCAGGGAATGGGCAGCTTGCATTGGAGAGGAGGTTGATGTACTTTGTTTTGGGGTAGAGGGGTGCTGGCTGCACTGGGAGGAGGGATGGGCGCAGGGGACATTGGAGTGGGTGCAGCTTGCATTGAGGAAGGGGCAGTGGGATCATTGCTGGGCACATTGGGGTAGGGGTAGGGGGCGCTGATTGGGTGCAGGGTGCATTGGGGAGGAGGATGTGGGGTGGATGTAGAAGACATTAGGGTGGGTGCTGGCTGCATTGGGGTGAGTGCAGGGAGCATTGGGGAAGGGGCGGGGGTGTGTGCTGGGTGAATTGGGGAGGAGAAGGTGGGGTGGCTGCTGGGTGCATTGGGATCGGGGAGAGGGTGGTTGGATGAGTGCAGGGTGGCTGCAGAGTGCTTTATGGGAAGTAGCAATAGATGGGGTAAGGAGTAAATAGCATGGGATGAAGTGGGAACCTGGTGACTCTTCTGTGTCCATTTAAACCTGACGGGGTTCTCTTCTGTCTGGGGTGTGTATGTGTATCTGGTGGGGTGGGGAGTCTTGGTGCTGACAGGGGTCTGCCTTACTCTGTTGGTGTCTGGTACAGAAAGCAATGTCTGATTCACTCTCTGCCGCTTATTTTCCAGCCTCCTCTCCTATCTCTGCAGATCCAGCTGGACCCCAGTTCTCCAGACTTCACGCTCTGAGCCCCCCCGGGACTGGCTCTCATCAGGGTCTCGCTGGGGCTGGCAGTGGGGGGTGGAGGCGTGTCTGGCTCTCTGCCACTGGAGATTCTTCTCCACCCCCTCGGCGGTGGAGGGCTTTTAGTCTCTGTCTCAGATTGCTGAGTCTCCGTGGTCCTGATTCTCTCTTCTCCGAGCTAGCCATCCTCTGACTGGGCAGCGAGAAGTGGTTCAGATGCTGGTACGAGGAGGGACATCCATCTAATACCTCCTCTCATGCCTTGTTGCTCGATGCCCCAGCCACTCTCCAAGCTCTTGCTGTAACCCAGGGCTGTCGCAACCATTCCCAATTCCCTGCCTGCTCATGGCTCGTATGTTGGTGTGACCCAGTGGATGGGCCCAGCACTAAGATGCCTGCGTCCCTGTGAAGGCTTCGCCGGCGGCCTGCCTGCTGAGGAAGACCTGATACTGCCAAAGGGAGGAGTGGCGTGGGGGCCCCACAATGGAGGACTCAGACCAGCGGCTGGTTCTGGGTATGAACGTGGGGGATGGGCGCCAGACGCCTCCTGGGGAGCTGCGGACACCCACGCAGGAGGGTGAGGAGCTCAGGGCTCCTATCCCTGAGGATGTCTGCAGTGGTGATGAAACCAAGATGCTGTTGAGGGACGAGGAAGACGTGGAGGAAGAGTTGGATCCCAGGATACAGGTGAGGGCTGGCTGTACCTGGCTTTCTCTAATGCTATCAGTCACTGGTGTGGATGTGAGCTGTGAGCCAGTGCGAGCTACGCATTCCCATGGGGACCTGCTCCATAGGGGACGTCACAGCCCCAGCTGCAGAGCCTGGATGTTTAGCTTGAGCTGTGGAGACTCTTGCTTTTAGCACTGGTTCAATCCCTGGTGTTGGTTAAATTTTTCCTAATATCCAACCTAAACCTCCCCCACTGCAACTTGAGACCACTACTCCTTGTCCTGTCCTCTTCTACCACTGAGAATAGTCTAGAACCATCCTCTCTGGAACCACCTCTCAGGTAGTTGAAAGCAGCTATCAAATCCCCTCTCATTCTTCTCTTATGCAGACTAAACAATCCCAGTTCCCTCAGCCTCTCCTCATAAGTCATGTGTTCCAGACCCCTAATCATTTTTGTTGCCCTTTGCTGGACTCTCTCCAATTTATCCACATCCTTCTTGTAGAGTGGGGCCCAAAACTGGACACAGTACTCCAGATGAGGCCTCACCAATGTCGAATAGAGGGGAACGATCACGTCCCTCGATCTGCTCGCTATGCCCCTACTTATAAATCCCAAAATGCCATTGGCCTTCTTGGCAACAAGGGCACACTGCTGACTCATATCCAGCTTCTCGTTCACTGTCACCCCTAGGTCCTTTTCCGCAGAACTGCTACCTAGCCATTCGGTCCCTAGTCTGTAGCTGTGCATTGGGTTCTTCCATCCTAAGTGCAGGACCCTGCACTTATCCTTATTGAACCTCATCAGATTTCTTTTGGCCCAATCCTCCAATTTGTCTAGGTCCCTCTGAATCCTATCCCTGCCCTCCAGCGTATCAACCACTCCTCCCAGTTTAGTATCATCCGCAAATTTGCTGAGAGTGCAATCCACACCATCCTCCAGATCATTTATGAAGATATTGAACAAAACCGGCCCCAGGACCGACCCCTGGGGCACTCCACTTGACACCGGCTGCCAACTAGACATGGAGCCATTGATCACAACCTGTTGAGCCTTACGATCTAGCCAACTTTCTACCCACCTTATAGTGCATTCATCCAGCCCGTACTTCTTTAACTTGCTGACAAGAATACTGTGGGAGACCGTGTCAAAAGCTTTGCTAAAGTCAAGAAACAATACATCCACTGCTTTCCCTTCATCCACAGAACCAGTAATCTCATCACAGAAGGCAATTTAGATTAGTCAGGCATGACCTTCCCTTGGTGAATCCATGCTGGCTGTTCCTGATCACTTTCCTCTCATGTAAGTGCTTCAGGATTGATTCCTTGAGGACCTGCTCCATGATTTTTCCGGGGACTGAAAAAAGCCCTCTTCACTGAGGGCTTGTCTACAAGGAGAGATTGACCAGTAGAGCTATAGTGGAATAATTATCATGCTGTAGCTATGCCGGTATCACTCCCTGCATGGATACGCTATTCTGGTATAAAAATGACTTTCTTCTGGAAGTTCGAGGGGAAAAAAGGTGGGTGAGGTAATATCTTTTATTGGACCAACCGAGCTTTCAAATTACATGCAGGTTTTCAGGTTGGGGAAAGGTACTCTGAGTGCCACAGCGAAATACAAGGTTGAAGGGATAGTTTAGTGTAAGTAGTTAGCACATATTCTAAGGGGCCATTCAAGGTGAAGTGGCCTGTTAACACAGAATAACAGAAGTTGTCCAATAAAAGATATTACCTCATGCCCCTTATCTCTCTACAACAATGCTCATCCCAGAATAATTACTTGCAAGTAAACAGTCACTTTTATTCTGGACTGGCATGTCCTCTCATGGGGGTACACGGGTGTAGCTGTTACAGGATAATAGTATGCTGGACAGTTTCCCTATGTAGACAAGCCCTGAATTAAATTAAACTGATTTATAAAACATCTTTGAATTGGATTAAGGCTTTGTCTAGATCAGGATTTAAAAGTGTCCTTTGATCCTGTTATCTCACTTGATCTAATTAACACCTCCTGGGATTCCAAGACAAAGCAGCTGTAACTGCAGCCCATGCTAAACTGGTCAAATGAAAAGCCTTCCTAGGATCCTGGTAATGTAGGGCTGGAAGGGACCTCGCAATAGCCTGTAGTCCAGCCCTTGTAGTCTGTCCACAGCTTAGAGTAGGGACTGTCTTTCTTTGTGATAGTACAGTGCAGCCCCTAGGGGCTACCGTAATGTATGTGACTCAGGTCATGATCAGAGATCCAGGATCCTTGGTGCAGGGTCCCATCCTGCCGCCTCAGGGAACAGCAGAGCTCAGGTGCCATTAGACAACTCTGATCATCAATAGATCTCAGAGCTCATTAGGTCTCTCGTCCAGGCCCTTGCTGTCTCGCATCTCGATTGCTGCAGCATCTTCCTCCCTGGCCAGGACCGGTCCCATCTTCTTACCCCACTTACGTTTGTTCAGAACGCTGCTGCTGCAAAGATCATTTTCTTGTGGGACCCCCCCACACACACCTCTCTGCGAGCTCCCCATTGGCTCCCCTTCGCATCACACACAAACTGCTTATCTTAAGGCTCTTCATGGCCCTATCTATCATCCCCCCTGTGCTATTGAGATGTGGAGCCCAGCCTCCGCTCTGCCAGTGACACCAGCCTTCATCACCCACTTGGTAGATTTTCCCAGCAGCACCTCCCTGCTGCCTGCCATGTCACCCCTGTCTGGAGGAGGGGGAGCAGCAGCAGCAGATCCCATAAACACCCACCAAGCCACCTAAGTGCCTCCTTTGCCGCGATACCTACATGACTCTCGTCGTTGGTTAGGAGCTGCGGCTGCTGCTTATCGCTCTGATCAGACATGACTCATCGTTCCTTTGCGCTCCCCATCCATCTGTCTCAGCCTGTTGTCTCCTGCACATCTATGTTACTGCAGGTGTTGTACATGGTGCCTAGCACGATGCGGCCATGACCACAATAACTGTTGTGGGTCATCAGAGAGCCTGAGTCCCTGGCACAAAGCCCTGTCCTGTCTCCTCAGAACAGGTACACACAATGATCCCCACCTCTCCTCTAGTACTTCTCACCAGCAGAGCCAAGTGTTCTGCAGATTTATCAGCATTTCACAGATGGGGAAATGAGGCAGAGAGGGGCAAAGCGACTTACCCAAGGTCACCCAGCAGGCCAGCGGCACAGCCTGGTATACGCTCTGTGCGCTAGGCCACGCTGTGTTTGTGGTGCCCCCCCCCGTAGCTGTGCTGGGCGTGGAAGGGGTGCGAGGAGGGGCTCTCGCAGACCGGGAGGGGGCCTGTCGGGGTGGTGCTGTCCTGCTGAGCTGGGCATAGCATTGGGGCGGGTACCCGAGCCTCCAGCTCTGCTTCCCCCTTGCAGGAGGAGCTGGAGCATCTCAACCAGGCCAACGAGGAGATCAACCGGGTGGAACTGCAGCTGGATGTGAGTAAGCGCTGGGCTCCCTGTGGGGCCGGCCACCATGCCTCAGACTGAGCACGGCCCTGCCACAGCCACCCTTATGTTACAGCCCTGTCCAGGCCATGGAGATCCCCGGCAGCTCCCACCGATTGTCTCTGTGCTGGGCCAGCGAGCCTGGCTGTTACCTTGTGGTGGTCGCAGCTCTTACTGGGCATTCAGTGACCCTTGGAGCTGCTTCTGTGGCCCCTGTGCTGCCCTGTGAAGCCAAGCAGAGTTGGGCTGGATTAGCACTTGGGAGGGGGCAGGGGTGCTCTCTGGTAGTCAGTGTCCCAGTGTGGGGCCTGTGCTGAAGGGAGTGGGTTGGGGCTCAGCAGGGGCCACTCTCCCTTGGTGGTCAGTGCTGGCCCCAGTTCCCCATTGCAACATTAGGGGACGCTGTGCTGCAGGGAGCAGGGCAAGGGTCAACAGGGAGTACTCTCCCCTGGCGGTCAGTGGTGGCCCCAATGCTTCTGCTCTCCTCCCCGCTGCAGGAAGCCAGGACTACATACCGCAGGATCCTCTCTGAATCCGCCAGGAAGCTCAACACCCAGGGCTCCCAGCTGGGGAACTGCATTGAGAAAGCGCGTCCATACTACGAGGCCCGTCGCCTGGCCAAGGAGGTGTGAATGCTCTCCTCTGCCCTGCCTGGCGTGGCCACCTCCCTGGCACATGCCAAAATCAGACTCCTGGGTTCTATCCTGGCCCTGGGGAGCGAGTGGGGTCTAGTGGGTTAGAGCAGGGGGGTGGGAGTCGGGACACCTGAGTTCTATCCCTGCTCTGGGAGAGGAGAGAGGGCAGGAGTCCCTTGCCCTACTCTCTCTCTCTCCGTGTGACTTTCCTCTCCCCTCCATGCAGGCCCAGCAGGAGACACAGAAGGCAGCGCTGCGGTACGAACGGGCGGTCAGCATGCACAATGCTGCCCGCGAGATGGTCTTTGTGGCAGAGCAGGGCGTCATGGCCGACAAGAACCGTCTCGACCCTACCTGGCAGGAGATGCTCAACCATGCCACCTGTAAGGTGAGATGTGGGGGTGGGGCCGGAGGTTGTACCACCCCATGTAGGGGGGAACCACACCACTTGCAAGGTGAGACATGGGGGAGAGAGGGGGCTGTACCAACCACATGGGAGGGAACCATGCCATTGGGAAAGTCAGACATGGGGACTTGGCCAGAGAGCCATACAAATCATGGGGTACAGGGGAATTATACCAACCACATGGAGGTGCTGACAATGCTACCTGCTAGGGGAGAGCTGGGGGACCACATTGGCTGGGCACAACGGGAGGAGGACTTTGCCATCTGCCTGGTGAGAGCTGGGAGCATGGACATGGTGGAGGCAATAACCAAATGATCACACCATCTGCCAGAGGAGGGGTGGGGGTGCCACAAGGACCATACCAATTGCACAGAGAAGGGGGGGGTGGTAGGTTGCACCCCCCTGGCGGGTGACAGCCTGAGTCCCTGTCAGGGAAGGACGGATGGGGAGGGGTGATGGAGCTGGATGCGGTGTGCGTGGGAGGATGGGGAGTGGATGGAGGAGACTGAGATCTGCAAGGCTCTGTGTGTATGTGAGGGTGCAGGCTGGGTGGGAACAGGGACCTGCTCTGAGCTGCATGTCATCCTGCTCCGGCTGCAGGTGAATGAGGCGGAGGAGGAGCGGCTGCACAGCGAGCGGGAGCACCAGCGTGTCACCCGGCTCTGCCAGCAGGCCGAAGCCAAGGTGCAGAGCCTGCAGAAATCCCTCAAGCGCGTCATCGTAAAGAGCAAGCCCTACTTCGAGCTAAAGGCCCAGTTCAACCAGATCCTCGAGGTGAGGCATTACAGCCCCACTGAGATCCTGGGGGGCCGGGGCACACATCCGCCCCCGCTGAGATCCCAGCATCCCTGTGGGTGGATGAGCGGGTATATGCCTGCTCGCCCCTGCTGAGATCCCAGCATCCCAGGGGGGACACACACGCATGCCCCCACTGAGATCCTGGCATCCCCAGGGGGGCCGGGGCACGTGCACGCCCCGCCCCCACTAACATCCTGGTGTCAGTGATTTTGAGGGCTGGGTGTGTGCGCGGCTGGGGTGAGACATACCCACCCCTCTGAGATCCCACAATGCCCTGAGTGACGTGTTGCTGCTCCCTACCCAGGAAGGGATGGATTTTCTCATGGGTGCTCCCCTCCCCTAGCTGTGGGGCCTGAGGCAGGGGAGCAGGGAGAGATGTGAGGCTGTGATTGGGTTTAGAGAGGAGTGGGATGCGTGTGTGTTTGTCTGTGCGCACACGTGTGGATACCTGCAAGGAAGAGTGGGGGTGGGGCTGAGCATGCAGGGGGTGGACTGAATTTATAGGATGGAGAGAGGGGGTGTCTTTCTATCCTGGGTTTGGCTCCTCCTCTCCATCCCCCCTCTCCACCCCGGAGCACAAGGCCAAGGTGATGGGACTGGAGTGGTGGGGTGGGCGGGAAGGGTTTGGGCACACTGTGTGGTGGCAGAGGGAGCTGTCGGACCCCTGATGTCCTCCAACCCCCAGGAGCACAAGGCCAAGGTGACGGGGCTGGAGCAGCGGGTCTCCCAAGCCAAAATGCGCTACTCGGTGGCGCTCCGTAACTTGGAGCAGATCAGCGAGCAGATCCACGCCCGGCGGTTGCAACGCCTCATCCAACGCCGGGCCTCGCCGGTAGGGGCGGAGGCGGGGGCCGGGCTAGGCGCCGAGTGCCCCCCCCACGGACACGCTCTCCATGCTCAGCCTGCAGACCATCGCCTCCGACCTGCAGAAGTTCGACTCGGTGGAGCATCTGCTGGGGCTGTCGGACGCCACCAGTCTCAACAGTGATGAGCAGGAGCGGCGTCGGGGCGGGCAGAGCCAGTTCAAGCACCACCGCAGCGTCAGCCTCTAACCCACCTTCCTGGCCCTTCCCCTCGGCAAGCCCAGTCGGAAGGGGCTGTGCCGTGGTGAGGAGGGAGTGCTGTGGCTGGATGCTGCGGCACTAAGGGGGAGCAGCCTTTCACCGCTGCTTCCTAAGGGGGGCCCAAAGACACTGCACCTCCTGGGGACGTTGCTCATTCTCTCCTCCCCCCCCGGCCCCCGCACTTCCATGAGTGCCCTCTGACACTACACCTCCCAGAGGGCATTGCTCATCCCCTCCCCCCCCCGGTGAGTGACCCCTGACACTGCACTGGGTGACCTCTGACACTACGCTTCCCAGGGGGCATTGCTCATCCCCCCCTCCCCCCCCCCCCCGGGTGAGTGACCCCTGACACTACGCTTCCCAGGGGGCATTGCTCATCCCCTCCCCCCCAGGTGAGTGACACTGTGCTGGGTGACCCCTGACACTGCACTTCCATGTGGGTGTTGCTATACTGACACAAGTAGCATGGAGGCTGCTGATTCCAGCCAGCAGGGCTGTCTGGGTACCCTGGGGCAAGGCTCCATGCTGGAGCCAGGAGCAGACATGGCCCTTTGCTGGAGCGGTGTCACCTGCAGACCCCGCTTCCAGCATGCACTGATCAGAGCACCCAGTTCCCTTGAGTGCAGCGTGCTGGCAGCTGGGGTCTCCCTGAGCAAAGACAACAGCACACTATTCGTGGTCTGCTGCCTTCACCGACCTGGTCTCCGGCACTGCTACGTGTCCTGGGGACGGGGAGCAAAACTAGCTGCTGTCTGACAGACTACATTCCTGGTGGGGGCATAGGCCTTGGCCTGGGGCTACTGCATGTGTACATCCTGGGGGACAGGGCGGGAGCTATGGAACAAGGGCCCTATGGTGTCAGCTCTCTGATAGCTACAGCCTAGTTCTTGTCCCCAAGCACCGGCTGGTGAGGGCTGCTGCTGAGACATAAAGATGGCCTGGAGCCAATGCCCTCTCCTAGTGTAAACACAGACTGGGTCAGTCCCCTCTGCCTATCCTGTGGAGCCTGCAACGCTCACTGGGTGGGTTGCTCACTCACCTCCTGCAATGTAACAGGGATGCTCCTGTGAGAATTTGGGTGCTTGTGCCTGGGGTTCATATCCCAGTGGCAGAGGTTATAGGAGCAGCCAGTGCAAACTTTATAGCCTTCCCCGCTGCTCAAAGGCGGCTGGGCTCAAAGATGCCTGGAGTGAGCAGAACACCTTCACCCGAAAGATGGCAAGGAGCTGATTCCTTCCCCCACCAGCAGGTGGCACCAGATGGTTCACCCTGGGCAGCTCCTTGTACTCTTACCTAGCCTGGTTCCTCCAGATTTCCTAGGTCAAATCCCACTCAACTCTTCCTTTATATTGAGACAAATAAGTGTCAAAGCTGCGTGGAAAGTAATTTGCACTAGTTGGTGTGGGGATGGGGGGCCTTGGTGTCTGTTGGGAGGGGGAGTTCCTTGTGCATATCCTCTGTCCTGTAGCCCACTCTGGGCTCATCTGTACCCCCTGTGGTCTCCCAGGAGCTGGGGCTGCCTCCTCTCTTGTGATGGGTGCCCCTTTTGGTGGGGAGGCTGTTGCTGCTGCTGTGCCCTGGTGTGGCTTCACTCTGCTGTGGCTGTGGTGATAACTCTGCCAGTTTGAGGCAGCCCAGTGGATCTGTATGAGTGAGTGGCTGTGCTGTGTATTTTATTTAAAGTAAAGATGCCCTGTGGAGACTTGTGTGTGTCTCTGTCTCATGATTCAGTGTAATCCTGGATTGTCCACACTGCAGACACACAATATTGCAGCCAGTTCCCAGGACTCTCATCTGATCTGGGTACAACACAGGGATTAGCTGTGCATGCAGTGGTTGCTTTTTGTAACTACTCGGCACTGTTTCAGCCTTGGAGCTTCATATTCACTGTACAAATTCTGCAAAGATTAACTCCACTAGCTGGCAGGAGGAGTTGGCTGTTATCCACTAGAGGGGGATATTGGACAGTTTGCCAGGGTGTTAGAATTTCACAGTACAGTCTGGTCAGCTGTATTTTTTTTTACTGCACTGCCAATTTGTGTGTAGTGGGGAAATCTTTACAGCCATCCCAAAGTGCCTCAGCAGACTAAGGGTTTATCTACACTGGAAATTTTTCACTTACACTGATATAACTCCCTTCATGGGCACTCCTGTTCCAGAATGAGTGGCTTTTTAAAGCTTAGCTTAAACTACTTTACTTTGAAAGTAACAAGCTTCAAATGGAAAAAGGTCACTCTTACTAAGAATAAGTGTCCATGTGGGGAGATACACTGGTGCAATTATAGTGGTTTAAATTCACTTCTGTCATACCATGGAAGCTTCCTGTGTAGACAAGCCCTGAGAGAGACCCTGTGGTGAGTTAGTGGCAAAGCCAGGAATAGAGGTGTTTGGAATAAATAATGTAAATATTTTTGATGGAAAAATAAATATCTATCTTTTGAGGGCAGTGGATGAAATATCAATTTCTATGAAAATTCCTTGGGGGAGGAAATATTTTTAAACCTTTAGAAATTTATTTTGAGTTTTATGCTTTCAGTTTTTATTTTTCAAATTATGTTATTTCATGCCACATCAATAGTTCATATTATGCACCAATGACATGTCATATATTCTTTCTTTTATAAAACCATGAAGGGCAGCTGCTATTTAGTTCTGGTGGAAACATTTTATCTTTTCTAGGTCAAAATATCCCGTTTGTGCTGTGATGAAACAGTTTAACATTTTGTTTCATTAAAGTGTGTGTTTTGTATATTTTGCAGTCATGCAAGCAGCCTATTCAAAACAATGTAGCATTTCTTAACTGGAAGTCAGCAGGGAAGATTCTTAGGTTAGTGTGGGAAAGCTAAGCTTAAGGCAGAGTCCATATAGGTAGCAGCAATGGCCTCAGGATGCCATGCTCTTCTCAGCTCCATCTTTGCCCCCTCTGCGCATCTGTAGCAGCACACTGAAGACCTATCTATTGACACCTGCCCTTCCTTTAGTTCCAGGTACAGTCTTTTACTCTGCTTCCCTGCAGAATACTGGGGAAAGTCACCTGCTCTGTGGCCTGGTTGTGACGTTCCCCTCTGGTGTTGTCTTGACCGGTGATCTGTTAGGTCACGCCAATCCTTGACTCTGGGAGCCAGCTTTACCCTGCTCTGCTGTGAGAACCCCTACTCCTGGGCTGTTCACGCACAGCCTCTGGCATGTAAGCTGCTCCTTGGATTGTGCAACCGAATGACACTAGCCAGTATCTCCAGTCCCAGACACAACCCTAGGAATCTCCATCTTGCAGTGTCCAGGTATGCCCGCTGGACACTGCAAGCTTATATAAATTCATCAATTTAACAAATTGGTACCAGATTTGTTATCTGATACACTTCTGACATGCTTCAAACCAAACACACTGTTTCAGGGAGAACAAACAGGAGATTAAATATAAAGATAAATTTTAAGTGATTATAAGTCAAAACACAAGAAGTCAGACTTGGTCAAATGAAATAAAAGGAAAATGCATTCTAAGCTGCTCTTAACACTTTCAGTGCCCTTACAAACTTAGATGCTTCTCACCACAGGCTGGCTGGTTGCCCTTCAGCCAGGCTCTCCCCTTTGATCAGCACTTCAGTTGCTTGGTGGTGATGTCTGTAGATGGAGGTGGAAGAGAGAGAGCATTGCAAATGTGTCTCTATTTTATCATGTCCTTTCTTCCCTCTTGACTTTGTCCCCCAACCTTCAGAGTAAAGTGAGCATTACCTCATCGCAGTTCCAAACTGACCAAAGGAAGGGGGGTGACTCCTTCGAAGGTCTAACAAATTTGTTTGTTGCTGTCTAAGCCACTGTCTATTGTTCCTGTGAAGCTGGGCTGAGTTTGTCCCATCCATGCCCTGATGAGGTGTGAACTGCCTCTCTGTTCTTGGAGAGTTTTTGCATGGGCTCGCTTTAAGCCATGAGGATAAATTTTTGGCCCCATAACTACATACATGAAATTATAACCTATAACCTTACTGTAACAATTACTATAACAACCATGCTCAGTGCATCATGAGCCTTCTGAAGACACCCAACATGACAAACTTTGCATTGGATACCACACAATCATTTTATAAAGATGAACGTGGGGGTGTAGGGTGTTCCTCCAAGGTGTACAGAGCAGCACACCGCCCCTCTTAGTTTACTCCAAGAGGCTTAGGGTATGTCTACACTACGGAATAAGGTCGAATTTATAGAAGTCGGTTTTTTAGAAATCGGTTTTATAAATTCGAGTGTGTGTGTCCCCACAGTAAATGCTCTAAGTGCATTAAGTGCATTAACTCGGCGGAGCGCTTCCACAGTACCGAGGCAAGCGTCGACTTCCGGAGCGTTGCACTGTGGGTAGCTATCCCACAGTTCCCGCAGTCTCCGCTGCCCATTGGAATTCTGGGTTGAGATCCCAATGCCTGATGGGGCTAAAACATTGTCGGGGGTGGTTCTGGGTACATATCGTCAGCCTCCCGTTCCCTCCCTCCCCCGGTGAAAGCAAGGGCAGACAATCATTTCGCGCCTTTTTTCCTGAGTTACCTGTGCAGACGCCATACCATGGCAAGCATGGAGCCCGCTCAGGTAACCGTCACCCTATGTCTCCTGGGTGCTGGCAGAGCGGTACGGCATTGCTACACAGTAGCAGCAACCCCTGCCTTGTGGCAGCAGACGGTACAGTACGACTGGTAGCCGTCATCGTCATGTCTGAGGTGCTCCTGGTGCCTGTGAGGTCGATCAGGAGGCCTGGGCAGACATGGGCACAGGGACTAAATTTGGAGTGACTTGACCAGGTCATTCTCTTTAGTCCTGCAGTCAGTCCTATTGAACCGTCTTATGGTGAGCGGGCAGGCGATACGGACTGCTAGCAGTCGTGCTGTACCATCTTCTGCCGAGCAGTCATGAGATGTGGATGGCATGCAGTCCGTCTGCTGCCAGCCAAAGATGTAAAAGATAGATGGAGTGGGTCAAAACAAGAAATAGACCAGATTTGTTTTGTACTCATTTGTTCCCCCCCCTGTCTAGGGGACTCATTCTTCTAGATCACACTGCAGTCAAGGTGCAGCGAGGTAAATCTAGCCATGTATCAATCAGAGGCCAGGCTAACCTTCTTGCTCCAATAAGGACAATAACTTAGGTGCACCATTTCTTATTGGAACCCTCTGTGAAGTCCTGCCTGAAATACTCCTTGATGTAAAGCCACCCCCTTTGTTGATTTTAGCCCTGAAGCCAACCCTGTAAGCGCCCTCCCAGCGTCAGAGCAATGGCAAACAATCGGGCACTGAGAGTGCTGTCCAGAGCAGTCACAATGGAGGCTGATGGGGCTAAAACATTGTCGCGGGTGGTTCTGGGTACGTGTCGTCAGGCCCCCGTTCCCTCCCTCCCTCCGTGAAAGCAAGGGCAGACAATCATTTGCGCCTTTTTCCTGAGTTACCTGTGCAGAGCCATACCACAGCAAGCATGGAGCCGCTCAGGTAACCGTCACCCTATGTCCCTGGGTGCTGGCAGAGCGGTAGGCTTTGCTGCACAGTAGCAGCAACCCCTGCCTTCTGGCAGCAGACGGTGCAATACGATTGGTAGTCGTCCTCATCGTGTCCGAGGTGCTCCTGGCCGGCGGCTGGGAGCGCCTGGGCAGACATGGGCGCAGGGACTAAATTTGGAGTGACTTGACCAGGTCATTCTCTTTAGTCCTGCAGTCAGTCCTATTGAACCGTCTTATGGTGAGCAGGCAGGCGATACGGACTGCTAGCAGTCGTACTGTACCATCTTCTGCCAGGCAGGCAAGAGATGAGGATTGCTAGCAGTCGTATTGCACCATCTTCTGCCAGGCAGGCAAGAGATGGGGATGGCTAGCAGGCGTACTGTACCATCTTCTGCCAAGCAGCCATGAGATGTGGATGGCATGCAGTCCTTCTGACCGTCTGCTGCCAGCCAAAGATGTAAAAGATAGATGGAGTGGGTCAAAACAAGAAATAGACCAGATTTGTTTTGTACTCATTTGCCTCCTCCCTGTCTAGGGGACTCATTCCTCTAGGTCACACTGCAGTCACTCACAGAGAAGGTGCAGGAGGTAAATCTAGCCATGTATCAATCAGAGGCCAGGCTAACCTCCTTGTTCCAATAACAACGATAACTTAGGTGCACCATTTCTTATTGGAACCCTCCGTGCAGTCCTGCCTGAAATACTCCTTGATGTACAGGCACCCCCTTTGTTGATTTTAGCCCTGAAGCCAACCCTGTAAGCCGTGTCGTCAGTGCCCTCCTCCGTCAGAGCAACGGCAGACAATCGTTCGCGCCTTTTTCTGTGCGGACGCCATACCACGGCAAGCATGGAGCCCGCTCAGCTCACTTTGGCAATTAGGAGACATTAACCACCACACGCATTATTCAGCAGTATATGCAGACCAGAACATGGCAAGGATACGGGCGAGGAGGCGACGTCAGCGGTCCCGTGAGTGATCAGGACATGGACACAGATTTCTCTGAAAGCATGGGCCCTGACAATGCATGCATCATGGTGCTAATGGGGCAGGTTCATGCTGTGGAACGCCGATTCTGGGCTCGGGAAACAAGCACAGACTGGTGGGACAAGTGTTGCAGGTCTGGGACGATTCCCAGTGGCTACGAAACTTTGCATGCGTAAGGGCACTTTCATGGAACTTTGTGACTTGCTTCCCTGTCCTGAAGGCATGAATACCAAGATGAGAG